TGCTTCACAGTAGCCAAAAGAAAGGTACCATTACAATGTTAATCAAATTTCTACACCGAAATCGAGTTAACTTTTTGTGCATAAAATTTTGTTATTTGATGTTTAGGAGGTATCCACTGACTTCATGAAGATAATTTTAATGAAAACTAGGAGATAATATATATCTTATTGTTGTAGCCTTTCAGTAACTTAATAAGGATGAACAATGAATTTTAAAACAATTTTTGACCACAGTTTTGCTTTATCTCATTTTTCTTATCCAATGGTCTCATGCCCTCTAAATGAGACTTTGGTTTTGTCTACTCCAAATAAACCTAAATGCTAAATAGTTTAATAACACTGAAGTCTTCTGAATAAAATAGCATTTAAAAGAACATTCTTTTTCTTTTGTAAGATCATAATTTTTGTCGTGTATAAACATTGTCTGCTGATTTACTCCCAAGTCCCATTTTTATTGTATCCTGGAGAAAAGACAGAACATTTGTAGTGAAGAATTTGATGCTGACTTTATAGCAAATCATGTAGCAAGCATGGAACCAGGAATTAACTTGTTTGGTATCATTAAATCATACTAAATCCTTTTCCAAATGGAACAACCTGCTTGAATTTTGCAGTATCTCTCGACTGGAATTTGGCATTGTCAACTAGCCCTGGTGTATTTTTTAACATCTCTTTGTGCAGGAAATAGGTCTGATTCCACAAATTCATTTTATTTTTATTTTCAGAACAGAAAAAGAGCATCATATATGAAACTGCAAATCTACTAAGTATAGTTGGTTTTTAAAAAGCACATGATCAATTCAACCTTATGCTTTCAAAGCTGTCCTGTTCGTGTTTCCTTCTGACCTTCCTTCTCTTTTTCCCGTTTGCATTTCAAAAAAATGCTTCCAATTACTCTTTTCCAATGACACTATTACTACCTTCATTCTTTTCTTCACTCCCCCACTCATGAAATAAAGAAAAAATAGTCCCTATAAAAATAAGCATAGTCAAGGAAAACAAATTCATACAGTTGCCATGTCCAAAAGCAAAATGATTGATTTTGTACCTTGAGTCTATCCTCTCTCTTTCAGGAAGAGAGTACCATGCTTGATCATTAGTTCTCTGGTGCCATGGTTGATCAATGTATTTATAAGAATTCTTAAATCTTTAAATAGTGTTTATTTACAGTACTTTAAGTGTATAATTGTTCGCCTGGTTCTGCTCACTTTCCCCTCTCTCGGTTCATACAAGTCTTCCCAGGTTTTATACAACCATCACTTTGATCATTTTTTTGTTTTTGTCTTTTTAATTTTTTGATCATTTTTTATAGCACTATGATATTCCCGTTATTCATATGCCATAATTTGTTCAACCATCCCCCCAATAGTGGGCATCTCCTTTGCTTCCTGCTTCCAGTTTTTTGTTAGAAGAAAAAGCTGTTATAAATAATTTTGCATAAATGAGTTTGTTTTCTCTTTCTTTTATCTCTTGGGAGTGGGGTAGGGGAGGGGTGGTAGACTTGGTGGTAGTATTTCTAATATCTAGAAGTTTAGTTACTTAGGAGAGTCAGAGTTCTAAATTGCTCTCCAGAATGGCTGGACTGATGGACAGTTTAGCCATATCTAATGTTAATACAACTTTTGGTGAGTCTTATTTAATTTTTAGCCTCTTCCTATGTCTTTAAAGAGCCATTGAGGACCCCCAGCATGCAAAAGAGTTAGAAGACAATTTATAATGTACATTTTTGGTAGCTGAAGAGATGGACTTACCTGGGAGTTGGCTGTGCCCCTAAAGCTGAATATAAAATTGGCTGAGATACAAAGTGATGCTTTGTAACTAATTTAATGAAGGCATGTAGACTTAAAGAGTTTTAAAATCTTCTAAGTCACTTATACTTATTTATTCTGCTAAGCCATACAGTTTACCTTTTGGATAAAGAAAGTTCTGGACAATAGATAAAAGCTGAGAAGTCAGAAGATGTTAAGAAAATGTTATAGGGAAACCTAAAGAATATCTTAACAGCATGGACTGTCTTTTTAAATGGGTGGGGTTAGGTGTGCAGTGCAAAGTGCTGGGTTTGGGCACTCAGGAAGACTTGAGTTCAAATCCAGCCTCATACACTCACTAGCTATGTGACTCTGGCTAAGTCACTTCACTTCTGCCTGCCTCAGTTTCCTTATCTGTAAAATATAGATAACAACACCTATCCTCTAGAGTTATAGTGAGAATTAAATGAGATAGTATTTGTAAAACTTTTAAGACAATATCTGATACATAGTAGCTACTACATAAGTGTTAGGTATTGTGGTGATAGTAGTAGGGGTGGTACCAATAGAAGTAAAGTGACTTGATTTAGGCCACTCAGCTAATTGAGTGCCCAACCTGGTCTAGAACTTCTAGGCTACTCAGCTCATTGGGTATCCAGCCTGGTCTAGTACCCCTAGGCCCCTTAGCTAATTTAGTGTCAAGCCTGGTCTATAACCAGGTTTGTTCCTACCCGGTCTAGTTCAATTCCTCTGCCACCTGTGTAATTAATACAGTTAGGTTACTCCCTTATATATCATCCCTAGTTTTAAAGTTCTTTCTTACTTCATTCTGTTACATTTTTGTGAAGATTGATAGCATCTTCCTGTTTCAGAGTGTCTAAGCTGAATTAAAAGTCAGTGTAAGTATTGTCATTTTGAAAAGTCAAGGAAAATGCCATGGCTTTCTTATTTATTTAAACATATCCATGAGGTGTTTGCAATCTAAACACTGGGGCGTTGTGTATTAGCTCCTGAGAACCAGAAAATAGAACTGACTAATCTGTTTTTACTTGATAAGCTGAATAAAACAAAAAAATTAATTGCTTCAGTAGTGAAATAAAAAAAATTGAAACTTAGATTTCCATCTTACAAGGAAATTAAATACACAAAGAACTTTGAAAAAATGAGATTTTAATTTTTCTTAATTGAAAACAACTGAATTGTAATTCAAATGGTGAAGGACTTTTTAATAAAACTCAAATCTTTTAATATACTATTCTGTAGATTTTGTAGTGGCATAGCTAGGTGGTGCAGTAGATAGCATGCCAAGCCTGGAGTTAGGAAGACTCCAGTTCAAATCCAACTGCAGATACTTCCTAGCTATGTGACCCTGGTCAAGTCACTAAACCCTGTGTGCCTCAATTTCCTCATTTTTAAAATGAACTGGAGAAGGAAATGGGAAAACACTCTGGTATCTTTTTTCAAGAAAACCCCAAATGGGATCACCAAGAGTCAGACCCTAGTGAAACAATTGAACAACAGATTTTGTAGTATGAAGATTTGTTTGTGTGTAGAAATGAAATTGAAACTCAATTGAATTTTAATGCATCATTGCATCTTTTAAATTTATTCTACAGTGGACTTTGTTGTAGGAAAGTCTGACCTGAGGATTATAATATAACTTCATGTATATATTTTAAAAATACATGTGTATATAAATAGTCCTTTATTTGAAACTCAGAACAACCCTGTGAGGTTTGTAGTACAAATGTTATCCACATTGTACAGGTGAAGAAATAGCCTCAGAGATATTAAATGATTCTTTTCTTTGGATAGCTTCCAAAAGAAATTTATTACTGAAGAATTTCATTCTAGTGATATCACTTGTGCACAGACTCTGACATGGACTCTGAGGATAATTTTATAATTCAATAGATGCTTGATAAATATTTAATTGAATTGAAAATATGGGTGAGTTTTGACTATTAAGAGGTATTTTACCCCTTAGTATTTTCTGAGTGACTAATACTATAATTATATTTACTTACAGCTTTTATGAAAAAGGGCTTGTGCTATAATATATTTTATGTAGATAATCATTCAGCTCTGAATAGCTTGTGAATTTATACATTTCTCCAGTTTATTAGTAGGTTAAAATTATTGCCCCTTTTGACAAACACTTTTGTTCATGTTTTCTAATGACCTTTTAAAATACTTGAGAAAAAGTTACATTTTTAGATCTATTTTCAAATCTGTAAACTCTTCAAATTTCTATCAATGAATAGCTCCATAGCTTGTTTCATTTCATTTTTAAGAGTATATCTATAACAAATATTTATGAAGCACCTAATGTATGCCAGGCACTTTGCTTGGTACTCTGTGTACAAAGGCAAAAACTAAGTAGTCCCTGCCCTCAAAATTGCATTCTATTGGTGCTGCTGGTGGGGAGGGTTTAGGAGGGAATTAAAACAGGCTAAGGAATGGTGAATCAGGGCTTCTGAGGCAGGATAATTTTGGCTCTTAATGTATAGGTCTTTTATATACATGTTCATAAAGACCACTACATATATGTCCCTCCCTATGAAAGAATTACATCTTTTTTTGATACATAACTACCCTGAAATCAGTTCAGTAAATATTACATAATGATTATGTGTAGAATACCATGCAAAGTCTTTAATCACTGTGGATGCTGTATAGTGTAATGGCATTAGAGGTAGATATGTAGATCTGGGAGTAAATAGCATAAAAATAATTAAACCCATCTGAGTTGATGGCATTGCTAAGAGTGTATAGAATGAGAAGAAGCCTCAAGAAAGATCCTTAGGGAATACCCAAAGTTAGGCATAATATGGATGATGACCCAGCAAAGGGGATTGAGAAGGAGCAGTCAGATAGGCAGGAAGAGGACCAGAGAAGCTGTGTCGCCAAAACCCCAGAGGAGAGTATTTTAGGAGGAAATGGTAGTCAACACAGTGCCATGCTACAAGCAAATCAAGAAGCAGAAGGATTGAGAAAAGGCTATTAGATTTGGCAATTAAAAGATAGTTTGTTTGTTTTTTTAAGGCAATTGGGGTTAAGTGACTTGCCCAGGGTCACACAGCTAGTAAGTGTCAAGTGTTTGGTCTGATTTTTCAAGAGACCAAAGTTTCATCTTCAATATGCATTCAAATACCTTTCCTCATTTAATGTATGTAATTTAAACTTCAGAAAAAAGCATGTTTTTACTCATTTTTTTTCCTTCATATCATAGCAAATATATTTCTTTTTCAGAAAGTCAAGCTTGTCTGTATAATGTAGTTCATGAATGTCTTGGAGAGCTGCTGAGAATTCTTCAGGCCATAATAAACAAACACCAGATCCTCAACTCAGCTAATATTAGTGCTACAGGAGTAGTTATTGCAAAACGGAAAGGTAAGAGACTCATTATTGTCTGGGAAAATGGAAAATATGCACGTTTTTGTTTTTGCTTCATGATGCAATTAATAATAATCTTCTCAGAAGACTATATAAGAAAACTGCCAGTAATACTAAATGTCTAAATAACATAATCCTTGATGTTCTTAAATACTAAAAGTATCTGCCTGAAATGAAGTAAAATGGAGGACTTTGCTCTTATAATTTAAGCTTCTTTGCATGGAAACAAACAGTAAAAATCAACTCACAGACAATCAGAGCATATTTGTTAAAGCCCCTACAGTGTGCCAGTAGGAATACAAATAAAAAAATAAAATTGTCCCAACTTTCAAGGAGCTCACATTCTAATAGGAGATACATACCCCAGGAACATTTGCAGTCTAAGTAGAAAATGAATAAATACAAATAAATTCCAAATATTTTGGAAGGGAGGGCACTGGCAGTTGGGTGGAATCAGGAAAAGCTTCTTGCGGAAGATGGTGCTTGAAGAGCCTCTTAAAGAGGCAGAAGTAAGGAAAGCTCATTCCAGCCATGGAGTATGGCCAGGGAGGAGGCACAGTGCCTGCAGGTGGACTTCATGTGTGCACCTTAGAGTGAAGGGAGAAGAGTTGATATTTGATTCTAGAGGCAAAAGGAAGTTCCTGGGGGATCTGAACCATTACACTGAAGAAAAATTACTTTGTCAACAGAATTTAGAACGGATTAGAGTGGTGAAAAACTTGGGGCAGGGATACATTAAGCATTTTAAAATTGTATGTGATTTTTTTTTTTTTTGGCTATACAATATTTTCCATTGGAAAAGATATTCTTTTGATGAAAATGCATTAAGAGCTTTGGAATTTTTAAATTATATATTATGTATCACATGTTATTAATGAAGCAAGAAACCACTGTATATAGTAGTATGTGTCAGGTAATTGACTGTGGGTACTTAAGACAGATAAAATGGAGGGTGGGGGGAGTAGAATCTTGAATATTTGTTTAATGCTCATGCAACATTCACTATTTATTGAGGTTACCTTATGTGGTTTGAAAGAGCATTATTAGGGCCTTGATAATGTCAGCTTTGTGCTATCCTACTTTGTAACTACTATAGGTTCTGACTATAAATATAATATATATAATGAATAATTTAACTTCCTTGTTGGCTGACATTATTAGTGACTTCCTGGTATCAGAAATATAGACAATTTTTTTAGGAGCTCTCATGCATATATGTGAAGCTAATATCTATGACTAAGAAGAATAATGAGTACACTTTCAGTATTTGGAATTCTGTTTTACTTTTACTACTTTATAAATGCTTGTTTGATTGCAATGCAAAGCATGCATTGGTTGAATTAGATCCTATCCCTTGAATTCAGATCTCAATAAATAAAAGTATTAACTGGATTTGGATGTTTTCCTTGACACTAGGGGTACAAAGACAAAAGAGAAATCATCCCCGCCCTTAAAGAGCTTATTAAGCCCTTAAGGAAATGTTTAGGTATAGGTAGATGTCTGGAAAATCAATACAAGATAATATTTGGAGGGTAAGTGTTGGTCACCATAATCGAAGGCATAAGATAATTTTAAATACTGTCCTTGTGAATAGAAATATAAATAGGAAGCTAATGAATTTGCTTTTTTTTAATCTTATGAACTTTAGACACATATTTATATAGTTATGGTCTGGAACACGGAAAAACCAAGCTGGTTTATGATAGGAAAAAATAATAGCTAATATATTGCTGGTGTAGATTTAAAAATTTTACCTAACCACTATATATATTTTTCAATAGGTTGTTTACAATCGCCATTAAACTTCATTTTGATAGGGCAATTTTTGTGTACAGATAACAAAATTTCCATGCTTGGAAATAGTGACTATGGTTCATTGTTATTAGTAGCTATTGTGTTTAGTCAGTATGTCCTGGGGGAAGAGTGTGCAAGTTTTAAGGTTGATGCCCATATTCCAGAAAGCAAGATGTGAAGAAAGCTGTTTCTTCCAGGCTGCTTTGTAGATAGATTTGTATCTTTGGGTATAACAGCCTTTCACATTTCTTATTTGCCCCCATGGATGTTTTCTTTGGGGTCATTGTTGCTGTTCTTTTGCCTCACTGTATGGGTTTGAAAGGCAAAGATTTCTTTAGCCTATTGAAATTTTTAAAGGCCTCATAAAGTATATTATATTTGTCAGATTTCTATTTGTCTCTGATTTAATCTTAATAGCTGATAAACTAAGAGGGTTAAATAAAATGTTAGAGAAATGGATTTACAAACTTTGACATGTTTCTTAATATATGCTTAGGATTTCATACCTAGATACGTATGTGTATATCAGTAGTAAGTAAATATATTATAACACTTATAGCTGATGCTTAACTATATTTAAAAGTTTAATTGCATAATTTGATTATATGCAGTGAATCTAAGTAATGAGTGAAAGGGGAAGGTGTTAAAAATGTTAAAAAAATACTGCTACATTTGCTTATTTACTTACTTTTTTCTTTTTTTCTTAATTTATTTTGATTTATCAATAATCACTTCCATATGCTTTTGAGCTCAAAATTTTTTCCCCCTTCCTCCCCACCACCCCACCAAGATGGCACATAATCTGATATAGGCTACATATATACATTCTTATTAAACATATTTTCAGATTAGTGATGTTGTAAGTAAGAATTAGAACCAATAGGAGGAACCAACAGAAAGAGGAAACAAAACTCAACAGAAGAAAAAAATAGCAAATATTATACTTCGATCTGCATTTAAACTCCATAGTTCTTTCTTTGGATGTGGTTAGCATTTTACATCACGAGGCCTTTGGAGGTGTCTTAGATTCTTGTATTGCTGGGAAGGGTTAAGTTTTTCAATGTTAGTCATCACACAACGTGGCTGTCATTGTGTACAACGTTCTCTTGGTTCTGCTCACTTCACTCAGCATCAGACCATACAGGTCTTTCCAGGTTTTTCTGAAGTCAACCTGTTCATCATTTCTTATAGCACAATAGTATTCCATTACATTCATATACCACAACTTTTTCAGCCATTCCCTAATTGATGGGCATCACCTCAATTTCCAATTCTTTGCCACCACAAAAAGAGCTGCTGTGAATGTTTTTGTACACGTGGGTCCTTTTCCCATTTGTATGATCTCTTTGGGATATAGCCCTAGTGGTATTGCTGGGACAAAGGGTATGCACATTTTTATAGCCCTTTGGGCATAGTTTCCAAATTGCTCTCCAAAATGGTTGGATCATTTCACAACTCCACCAACGATGCATTAGTGTTCCAATTTTCCCACATCTTCTCCAGCATTTATCATTTTCTTGTTTTGTCATGTTGATCAATCTGATAGGTGTGATGTGGTACCTCAGAGTTGTTTTGATTTGCATTTCTCTAATCAATAGTGATTTAGAGCATTTTTCATATGACTATAGATGGCTTTAATTTCTTTGTCTGAGAACTGCCTGTTCATATCCTTTGACCATTTATCAATTGGGGAATGACTTATATTTTTATAAATTTGACTTAATTCTCTATATATTTTAGAAATGAGGCCCTTATCAGAGAGACTGGTTGTAAAGATTCTTTCCCAATTTTCAACCTTCCTTCTAATCTTAGTTGCATTGACTTTGTGCAAAAACTTTTCAATTTAATGTAATCAAAGTTATTCATTTTGCTGTTCGTAATGCTGTCTATCTCCTGTTTGGTCTTGAATTCTTCTGTTCTCCATAAATCTGATGGGTAAACTATTCTTTGCTCTCCCAGTTTGCTTACAGTATCAGCCTTTATATCTAAATCATGAACCCATTTTGACTTTATTTTGGTATTTGGCATATTTTGGTATATGGTGTGAGATTTTGATCTACACCTAGTTTCTGCCATACTCTTTTCCAGTTTTCCCAGCAGTTTTTGTCAAAGAGTGGGTTCTTATCCCAGAAGCTGGGGTCTTTGGGTTTATCAAATAATAGATTACTATAGTCATTGACTACTGAGTCTTGCATATTTAGCCTATTCCATTGATCCACCACTCTGTTTCTTAGCCAGTACCAAGCAGTTTTGATAATTGATAATACAATTTAAGATCTGGAATTGCTAGGCCACCTTCTCCTGCATTTCTTTTCATTAGTTCCCTTGATATCCTGGACCTTTTGTTCTTCCAATTGAATCTTGTTATTATTTTTTCTAACTCTATAAAATAACTTTTTTGGTAGTTTGATTGGTATGGCACTGAATAAGTAAATTAGCTTAGGTAGAATTGTCATTTTTATTATATTAGCTTGGCCTACCCATGAGCAACTGATATTTTTCCAATTATTTAGATCTGACTTTAGTTGTGTGAAAAGTGTTTTGTAATTGTGTTCATACAGTTCCTGGGTTTGTTTTGGGACTCCTAAATATTTTATAATGTCTACAGTAAGTTTAAATGGAATTTCTCTTTGTATCTCTTGCTGTTAGGCTTTGTTGGTAATATATAGAAATGCCGATGATTTATGTGGGTTTATTTTATAGCCTGCAACTTTGCTAAAGCTGTTTATTGTTTCAAGTAGTTTTTTACTTGATTCTCTAGGATTCTCTAAGTATATCATCATGTCATCTGCAAAGAGTGATAGCTTTGTTTCTTCTTTGCCTATTCTATTATTTATTTATTTATAAGTGATAATGAATGGGTGTTGCCTCAGACAAACTGAAATCTGGGAAAGACCTTAGCTTAAAAAACCCAAGATCTCCCCACTGCACCTGGGATTATCTCCAGTTGTCCTGATCTGTATCTTTCCACCAGACCCAGATGGCTGTAGAGGAGAGAGTGAGGCTGGTGTCTTTACACAGCCCTGCCTCACTTAAATCAAATTCACTTGCAAGTCATGATATCACCTTTCTAATGTCATTGGTCCTCTTCAAGAATGAAGAACAAACAACACATGATAGTAATAGTATATTTCACATATGTATGTATGTACATACACTGTCAGACACACACATATCCATACATATATGTAATACTACCTATG